GAGGGATTAGATAAATAATGGTAGCTGCTGATATCATTCAGTACTTTAGTATAAACATCTGTGACAGTCTGAAGACAGTAATGTAGGAAGGACCTGAATTGTATTTTGTTTGTACAGGCTTTCTAAGGAGGGGAAAACGAACAAACCCACTGCCACCCAGTCAATTCCAACTCATAGTGACTCCCATTCGGATTCCGAAGCAGTAAATCTTTACAGAAGTAGATTGCCCCATCTTCCTTCCTCAGAGTGGGTAGTAAGTTTGAACCGCCAACCTTCTGGTTAGTAGTCAAATGCCTTAGGTACTATGCCACTAGAGCTCCTTAAGGAGGGGAAGGCAGTTAGAATAGGAAAGAAAACCCTGATTCTAACACAACCATAAAATACACCTGACACCAATGTTTTTAATTGTCTAAAGTTGCGGAAACCTTTGAAATTTTGATCAAAGATATGAACTCTCACCCTTGGAAACTACACATGTATGCACCACACATAAGTCTGCATTTAATTTCAAAGGGTTCACTAACCCCAGTTTAATGTGCCCTGCACTACACAGAGAATGGCTAGACTTCATCTCACCTATTTCGGTCAGGCAGTCAGAAGGGACCCCTCTTTATACTGCATATGAAGTAAATAAATGAATGCCAGCTCGAGCTTTTATGCCTGGAGATTGACAAACTAAGAGGCCCAAACTAAATACAGTTCAGAGGTGACAAGTATACTACTGGTGGATTTTAAAAGTAGTAATAGAAATTATACAAGGTTTTATATTCATAAAACTTTTTGATTAACTAAGATGATACATTCTCTAAAAAATGCAGCTGGAAACTTATTTTAGCTAGCTCCCTTCTTCCTAAACAAAGACTTGCACAAAAGCAGTTATTAATTACAATCAATTTACTCAGCACTCACAATGCAAAAGTCTGTTGAAAATAAAAAGTGACCCAAATAGTTTTCCTAGGATATAGTCTGTAGCATACTGCTCTAATTGTTTAACTTAATCCTTGTTCTTTTGTAAAGCCTTGTTCAAATGTAAATTACATCTGGCAGCCTCTCAGAGTTTGGGGTTTCTGATCTTTTCTGTTCATCTCTATAAATACGAAATTACAAATCTTGTGCTTCCTAACATTTAAGTAAAACACAGGCTGAGCACAATTGGATTCAATTGTAGCAAACAATAAAGGATATGAAAAAGAAATCTGAGTGCAACCTTTATATCTGATTAGAGGAACAGACGATTAAAAATGTAATTACTACAAACATATATGCTGTTGTAAAATGATATATAAATGGATTACCAAGTAAAGCAGTGCAGTTATATATATTCACTGGTCAAGTTTACCTTCTTAGACTCTGTAGGCCCAACACAGAATAGGGCATATGTACACATACACACATTCTTTCCTTATACCCCATTTTCTGGATGAGTGCCCCACAGAATTTTATCAAAAGCATTATTTATTCAACCATTTAGCTTCTGACAAAATTACAAAGCAACTGTCTTTACATCTTAGGAATTGATCTTTATTTGTCTAAAAGTCCTCAAAAACACTTTTAATCATGCCTTAAAAAGCCAAGTGAAATGTGAAAAAAAATACTTAAAGATCAGAAATATCCTTTGAATCACTCACCTGGAAAAACCTCTACATAATTACAAGAGGATTTAAAACTTTTTTCTTAAAAAAACCACACAGTATTACTGATTATAAATGACTAGAGTATGTGGGAAATCACAAGCCCATTTAACTGCCTCCTATGGAGCTACACACTTTGCCAACCACTCCTTTTTATGTTTATGTTGATTCCAATGCAACTCGTCCCATACCTCATTTAATTTTAATAACAACTTTATTGAGATATAATTCATATATTATATAATTCATCCATTTAAAATGTAGAATTCAATGGTTTTTAGTATACTAAGAATTGTACAGCCATCACCACAATCAATTCTAGAACATTTTAAAAAAGAAACCCCACACCCATTAGCAGGCACTCCCTATTTGCTCCCAACCCCTATCCCCACCTCAGCCCTAAGCAACCACCAAGCTATTGTCTTTGTCTGTAGATTTGCCTATCCTGGACATTTCATATAAATCAAGTCATAAATTGTGTGAATCATACAATATTCTGTTCATTTCCCAGAGACTGAATCATAACAATATTTCTGATTGGCTTATTTCATTTAACATAATGTTTTTTAGCTTTATCCATGTTGTAGCATGTATCAATAGGTCATTTTATTGCTCACCACTGCACTGTAGAGATATACTGTATTTTATTTATTTATGCATGAGTTGATGGATATTTGGGGCCTCATTTTTTTTTTTTTTCTTAAAAAAAATTAACCTTTACAAATGTTATTTCTACTTAACTTTTCGAGAAGCAATTTTAATTTATATTTAAAATTGATATGTTCATATCCTTTTACTTAGGTCTGGTAGCATAGTGCCTAAGGCACTTGACCGCTAACCAGAAGGCTGGCAGTTCAAACCCACTAACCACTCCTCAGAAGGAAGGTTGGGCAATCTACTTCCGTAGTGATACCACCTCGGAAACCCAAGGAGGAGTCGCTATGAGTCGGGTCCAACTCGATGGCATATAACAACAAACAACAAGCCTCTTCAAGTAATTTATAGTAAGAAAATTATCGATTAAGTCAAAGATGGATATACTGATGCTACTGGAGTACTATTTTAGTTGAAAGTTGAGAACCATCTAAATGTCCATCAATACTGAGTAAATAAATTATTGCTCATCCATGTAATGAATGCAGTACAGAACAGAATAGGAGAAAAATGTGGAACAAAACTCAAAATTATAAACAAGCAAACAAAAAGCAGGCCTACTGGTCTGACAAAAGACTGGTGAAACCACTGAGACCATGGCCCCTAGTCACCTTTTGGGAGCTCTGGTAGACTAGTGCCTAAGGCACTTGACTGCTAACCAGAAGTCTGGAGGTTCAAATCCACAAGCCACTCCTCTAAGGAAGGTTGGGCAATCTACTTCCTTAGTGATACTGCCTCAGAAACCCAAGGAGGGGTCACTATGAGTCGGGTCCAACTCGAGGGCAAATAACAACAACAGTCACCTTTTGGGCCTGGTGTTGAACCTACTCCCATGGCTTAACTTCAAGCCAAACAACAGACAGGTCTATGACATGAACAATTATACCAGGTAGGTACACTTCTTAGAACAAACAACCATGCGACATCAGAAGTGCAGCATTTGCCCAGGGAGATAGCTCAAAGTGCAGGAGTGCATATGAAAGAAGGACATAGGGAAAAGGTACTCGTAGGGAAGAAGAGGAATGCAATCATTGTCAGGAAACAAAATGTGTATGAACTATTGAAAGGAAAATGAATTTGCTCTGTAAATAATAAAAAATAATTTTTAAAAAAGAACAGGTAGATACATATGTATTCACAGGAAAAGGGAGGTAATTATTCTGTTAATTAAAAAGCAGGTTAGAGAACAGTTCATATAGATGCACTAATTTTTGTAAAATTACATGCATATGTACATGTACTTGAATACACAGCCATATCCTGCCTGCCTGCTACCCCTCACCCCCACCGTTTTCTCTCTTCTCAAAGGATGCACTCCAAACCTTTAAAATGATCAGCCCCTGGTGAGTAAAAGTGAAGGAAAGTGGCTTACCCACAAGCCATTCTGCAGGAGAAAGATGTGACAGTCTGCTTCCATAATGATTACAGCCTTGGAAATTCTATAGGTCAGTTCTACCCTGTCATATAGGGTCACTAAGAGTCGGAATCAACTTGACTGCAGTGGATTTGGTTGATGGAGGTATCATAATAATCACAAGAAAACGCTAAAGAAAATTTCTTGGAAGAATTAGTTTAGAACAATTAATCAGATCAGCACTTTGAACAGGTAATACAATCTTATGGTTCAAGCACCACATCTTCCCTTTTTGTGGTTGAAGGTCTTCACATAGTCTGTTCATTCCCAACCTGCTACTAGCAGTACATTTCAAGCAAAATATACAGCATAATTTTACATGCACAGAGCATCAGGCTTCTTTGGAAAAACTTTTCTTAGCTTTCCTACCACCTGATTTTTCATCCTTTTCAACATTACATCTTCCTTTACATTATATTCGGAGTCTCTAAATGGTGCAGTTAACATGCTCAGCTCCAGAAGGTTAGAGGTTCAGATCCACCCACAGACACATCAAAAGAAAAGCCTGGCCATCTATTTCCAAAATGTCACAACCATGAAAACTCTATAGAGCACAGTTTTACTGTGAAACAAATGAGTTTGTGATGGATTGGAATCAACTCTATGGCAAATGCTTTGTTTTTTTTTCCCCCAAAATGTATTTTATTGAAATATAATTTATGTACAGTGAAATATACAAAATTAAAGTGACATGGGTCAATTTTTTTTTTTCAGTGTTCCCTCCCCTCCCATCCCACCCCTGGTAACCAACAAGTTTCCTTCCATATATAAACCTTTCCTTGACTTTTTACAATAATGAACTAATACTATATTTGTCTTTCTGTGATTGACTTATTTCACTCAGCATAATGGTCTCCAAATTCAACCATCTTGTACGGTGTTTTGCAGATTCTACATTATTCTTTAGTGTTGCATAGTATTTCATTGTGTGTATGTACCATAGTTTAGTTATCCATTCTGTTGATGAGCAAGTAGGTTGTTTCCATCTCTTTGCTATTGCAAATAGTGGTGTGATGAATATGGGTGTGCATTTATCTGTTCTTGTCCTGTCTCTCACTTCTTTAGGATATATACCTAGTAATGGAATGGCTGGGTCAAATGGTATTTCTTTTTTTTTCTTTTTTTCATGGCTCTTTTCAGTTTATTGCATGAAGGAGTTACACAGTCCCAAGTTAAAAGTGGACCCCAAATTGTTACATCACACAAGCTGCGAGATTTTAAACTTGTGACAAGGGACAGAAGGGAAATTTTCTACTCATTGCAAGGAAATCCTCACTTAAGCTTCAATGAGCCACAAGCACTTAAAACCCATGAACCTTCAGCTGGTCGTCCTTAGCCAGTCCAATCTCTACGAGGAACTGGCATATGTTCTTGCGCTGGTCACCCTGTAGCTGAATTACTTCTCCATATTCTGGATGCTCAATGAAAGTACCATTGCAGGCAAATTTCTTCTTAAATGCCTTCACTAGTTTCTTTTTATCGTAATCATCAGCGATCCCTTGTACAGTGGTAAGGGTCTTCCTGCCGTTTGTCTGTTGAATTCTTATATGGATATAATCCTCAGTCCCAGCAGGAAGTAGGTCTTCACCCTTACTTGCATCAGCAAAGGGGTCTCCTTCCCGCTCCTTCTGGTCACGCTCAGAAACCGACTCCAAGACCCAGGCCTCAGCCCCCGAACCTGTACATCTTCCCTTTGTCAAAGTTTCTGAAAGCTTGTATATCTGGCAGCTTTCCAGGCCATCTCCAGGCCTGGAGCGCCCTGCTCTCCCATCCGGGCCTGTGGCTTACTAAAAGAGTGGAGGTTCTGGATAGCCCAAATGGTATTTCTAATTCCAGCTTTTTAAGGAATCGCCATACTGTTTTCCACAGTGGCTATATCATTCGACAGTCCCACCAGTAGTGTATGAGAATCCCAATCTCTCCACATCCTCACCAGCATTTGTATTTTCTGTCTTACTAAACTTTGCCATTAGAGCTGGGGTGAGATAGTATCCCATTGTTGTTTTGATTTGCATCTCTCTGATGGGTAATGATCATGAGCATTTCTTCATGTATTTGCTGGCCACCTGAATATCCTCTTTGGTGAAGTGTCTATTCATGTCTTCTGCCAATTTTTAAACTTTTAAACAAAACATTTTAAACAAATCTTTCTGTTGTTGAGACACTGGAATTCTGTATAAATTTTACAGATAAGGCCCTTGTCAGATACATAATTATCGACAAGTATGAATTTGTTGTCGTCATTTTGTTATGTGCTTTTTCGTGGTGTTGCTGATTTTTTGTTCCATATAATTTTCTGTGCTGAGCTCATTTTGTTTATGAATCATATTATCATTTCCTTTGTTGCTATGTTTTAGTATTTGCTAAATATTTTGCTGGTCTTCTTTTTCCTTTTGATGTGAAGGTTTATTATTTTTCTTTGAGGTTACCCTGTGATTTATAATTTTCTTCACAAGTTTAGAACAATCCATTCTATCTTACAGTTGTGTTAACTTCCTTCCCATTTAGAAGTTCTGTAACTACACATTTTTTCCCTCTTTTTCATTTGCAGTTGTTCTCATTTGTCAATTGATTTCTCTGGTTCCCTGTTTACAATCTTGTAGGCTTATTTACTATGGATACTTCTATAACTGGGTTGGTTTCTGCATTATGTCATCATGTGTGTTAATGGTCAGTTGTCATTTGCTGTTGTTGGTTCTCTGTCCAAAGGACTCCCTTTAGCATCTCTTAAAAAATTGGTCTGGTTTTAACAAATTCCCTTAATTTCTGCTTATCTAGAAATGTCCTAATTTCACCATCAAATTTGAGGGACAATTTTGCTGGGTCTATAATTCTTGGCTGAAAATTTTTCTCTTTCAGGGTTTTATATATACCATCCCATTGTCTTCTCACCTGCATGGCTTCTGCCAAGAAACCCAAGCTTAGTCTTACTGGTCACTTATTTGGTGAGTTTGATGATGGTATGTCTTGGTGATTTTCTTTTGGAGTCTATCCTGTTTGGGGTTTGTTAGACTTCTTGAATGGATATATTCTCATCTTTCATCATACCAGGAAAATTCTCTTCCAACAAATCTTTGACAACTTTTTCTGTTGTTTTATTTGTCTCTTCCTGTTCTGGAATTCCGATTACACATAGGTTATCCCACATGAACCTTAGGCTTTCTTCATTTTGTTTTGATCTTTTTTCTGACTGATCCCTTTCCAAAGAAGTATTATTAGGTAAATGCCTTCAATCTCACTAATTCTGTCTTCCATTGATTCAATTCTACTCCTTTGCGCATTCAACATGTTATCTATTTCTGAAAATTTAGTATTAATCTTCTGAACTTCTGTCTGTAGATTTTGTATCATTTCTAATTTTTCATTTATTTTGTCATTTTGTTCTTGTACTGTCTTCTGAAATTCTTGGAGGGTTTTCTCTGTGTTTTCCTCAATTTTGTCAGTGTTTTCCTTAATCTGTCTCTCAATTCGTTGAAGGTATCTAAATATAATTCTTTTGAATTCCTTATCAGGGAGTTCTAATGCTCCCTCTTCCTCAAGGATGTGTTCTGGGTCTGTATCCTGGTCCCTTGTTTCTCCTGCTTTATCTTTCTTCTTTGTGTGGACTGTGATTCTCTGTTGTCTCTGAGGCATTGAGACATTTTTGTGTTCATATTTAATTGGTGATTGTATGTTGGAGTGACTTGCCCACAATTTTGGTTTTCTTTGTTTTGTTTGTTGGTTTGGTTTTCTGGTTTATCCATCATCTTTGCACCTAGTACTGTAAGTACAGTTAAAATGGAAACATGAAATCTAAGATAGGATCCCAATCTGTTAGAAACTTACAATCCAATTAGGGAGGCTACTTATGCCTAAATGAAATAATGAGTGAAGAAGATAGTGCTAGGTTTTTCACAATATTTGAAGCCATGATAGTCATGGAGTATTGAAAACCCAGATAGCTTTTCCACCACCACCACCCTTCACATTGTCATGAAGCTTGAAATCACAAGAATGTCACATACTTTTTTCTAAAAGCTTTAAAAGAACACCCTGAGGTCTTGGACCAGCCCTCATTCAGCAAAGATTCACAGAGAACTTTACAATGGTGAAATGTCTCTAAAAGCTGCCACCAAATGCTGCTATTGAAGCTGTCTTCTGTCTGATAACCTGACACAGAAAGAGCTTCATTTAACACCACCTCTACAAGTCATTACTGTTTCATCTACAATGACAATTACACAATAAGGGATTTAACCAAAGAATAAATACAAATCATTCTCATCAATTATAATCTGTCTCAGTGACACTGGTTTCATTGACTATCTCCACATGATCATCAAATCAAATTCTTCAAAAGATACAGAAGTGGCTTGCAAAATATCTTCACTGAAAAATTCTGCCTCCAGCCCTCCATTTCTCTCAGCAAAAATGCTTCCTAAGAAACCCTCTATTTACACAGGATATTCTGTAAAGCACACACATCTAACTCTCTATCTTGTGAAATTTAGACACATCAGACTTACGAGTATCTAAAATTGTTAAGTGAAATGCCTATAAATATTCCAACACATAGTTTATTGCTTATAACATTAACTCACAAGCTATAAATAGCAAAAACTGTTTTCTACAAATGTACAGCTGTTATTTGAATTTCGTGAGGCAAAGACTACAACAATTGGGGATTCTAACAGCCATGTATTTTTTTTAACCACTATCTTCATATTTCAAATTGGACAATTTTGTTCAATTCCACCATCATCATTTTGAGTATAACTGGGACATTTTTCATTAATTCCTGGTATAGGATTTATTCTTACACTTTAATTTTATTTAATCCATCTAACCCATTGTCACAGCTTTATTCATCCTAACACTAAACTGATTTCATCCACTATTATTTTCTTTTTTCAAAAAATAAAATAAATTTTTAAAAACTGTGATAAAAACATACTACAAAACATTTTTCATTTCAATGTTTGTTTACATGTATAATTCACTGACATTAATTATGTTCACCATGTCATACAATCATCACAACTATCCATTTCCAAATTTTTTTCTTCACCCTTCACAGAAGTTCAGTGCACACTATTTACTTTCTAAAGTATATAAAAATTTCAATCATAACATTATTTGTGCACTGCTACCACGCTGTGCCATTTATTTCTAAATAAAAACGTTCTAAGTTTGTAAGCTACTTGTTCATCACTATTTAAGGAGCTACATATCATTCAATATTTATTGAAAGTCTTCATGACAACCAAAACTGGCATGATGCCTGATTTACGTTGATAGAGCTTTCATGGAAAACTTATCCATACAAAACCATGTACATTTGAAAACTGCCCTTTCTTTCTTAATTGTGCTACATTATGTTTGGGAGCTGTAATGCAGAAAGAGTTTTATAAAATATTCAGCTGCCACGAAAAATAAAATTCTCAAATACCAGATGGTTCTCTGTATAAACACACAAGAGTCAAAAGTTGGGAAGCAGGAAACAGTGTATTCTTGGAAAAGTAAATTGATTAGCACCAGGTAGTCACTGACCCAGTGAATGCAATGATGGGCTGAAGCATAGCAATGATTGTGAGGGTGGTGCAGGACTGGACAGTGTTTCATTCTGCTGTACAGAGGGTCACTCTGAGTCAAAACCGACTTGACAACACCTAACAAGTCATTGTAAAAGAAGCCATGGTTGCACAGTGGTTAAAGTGCTCAGCTTCCAACCAAAAGGTCAATGATTTAAACTCACCAAGACTCCACAGGCGAAAGATAAGGCAGTCTGCTTCCATAAAGATGTACAGCCTTGGAAATGCTATGGGGGCAGTTCTACTCTGTCCTATAGGGTCGCTATAAGTCAGAAGCAGATCAACATCAATGGGTTTTTTTTGGTTTTTTAAAGTCATTGTAAACAACCCAAAGATAAGTCCATCTCAGCACCTTTTATATCAGTAGGCTTCTCCCCAACAAGCAGAAGGACTCCTCTTGAGCAGAATAGATCATTTTCAGTTATATTTATTAAACCTCCACATTAACCCCAAAACAAGCAAGAAAGTCAGGGATATGTAACAATAGGCTTCCTCATTCATCACAGACAGATCAGTTTCCACCAATCAACATGTCCTCCAAAGGAAATTATGAAGTCTAGAAGTTATATGATGTACTCATTTTGAAGGTTATTTATGATTCCCCAACCAGTTGAGATATTTTAAAGAGTTAAAAGTTGCCAAGCAACGAGTAGCAACTGGGATCTTAAAAGCTAGCAAGCTGCCATCTAGATGCAATGATGGGTCTCTCCTCATCCAGAGCAAAGAAGAATGAAAAAAAACAAAATTCATGGAAACAATTAGTCCTAGCGACTGGTACACCATTCTATCTGCAGCCTATACAACTATGAGACCAGAAGAACTAGATGGTGCCCGGCTACCACTGTCATCCACTTGGAAGGTGATCTATGTAGGAGATCCTTGATAGAGAGGGAGAACAATGTGGAACAAAACTCAAAATCATTTGGAAGAAAAAAAAAAAAGGTGGGGACCAGGTT